GTTAGCGGATGTGAGAGCCTCTGCAAGAAACTCAAGCAGAGAGCAGCAAGCGGCGAGAAAGTGGCGAATTCACCAACGCGATGCAAAATCGCGGTTGTGCCCTACATCCATGAAGTGACCCACGGACTAAAAAAGATCGCAGGCAGGCAAGACATTCAGGTTGTATGTTCGGCACCAAACACAGCGTACGCAATGTGCCGCAGGGTCAACAAGGGACGTGATCACCAGCCGATATCTGACACAGCCCATAGAACACGGTATGCCCAATGCGACACCGGGGTCGTCTATCGTATTCCCCTCTCTTGCGGAAAGAGCTACATCGGCCAAACTGGCCGATGTATAAACGATAGAGCAAGAGAGCACGCAGCGTTGGTGAAAACTACATCAGCGGGACACTTGTCAGCGCATTTCCGGACATGTGGATGTGACGCAGAGCTCACCAGCATAACCGTCCTTCATAGAAACAAGAACTCCTTCGCGCGTGAAGTACTGGAGGCCTTAGCCATTGAAGAACAAGGAGAAGATTGCATGAGCACCTCGTCGATTAACGTTCACGACAAAAAACGCCAATATTTGCGGTTTGCCACACCCTATTGACTGGTAGGCAAAAAGGTGTTTTTAAACGTGTTTAATGAGCCATAGGACAAAGAAGAAAAGGCCTAGGCTGGGATGAGGAAAAAGTAAAAGTTAGTTGTTAGTCAGCGGTGTGATTGTCCAGTCCTTTCCTTCGTGTTCTTGTTTTTTTCCGTGTTCAGCTGACCTGATTGCCAACAGTACGAAGCAAACCCGCTTATTAGAACGTACAAAGCGAACTCGCTGAATTCGAACGTACGTACGAAGCAAACCCTCTTAATTCGAACGTAGGAAGCAAACCCGCTTAATTCGAACATGCTTGAAGCGTGTACACGGTTAATTCTGCCATCGTGTCTGCAGAGAAACTCCGTGTCTCGTGCAGGGCCGGATTAAGGTACGGGCTGTGGGGGCTGCAGCCCTGGGCCCCAGGCTGTCAGGGGGCCCCATGCTGGCCCCTGAAAATTTAAAAATGTTAGCCTTTTTTTTTGTTTCTTTTTTATTTATGGAAGTTTAGGCAGAAAGCTGAAGAAACCTTCCGAAGGGCCTCTGGCGCAACGGCCTTTTCGTTCTATTTTCCTTAACAAGGAAACAAGGATGTCATAAAGTTCCCGTCTCTAGATCAGCTGGCGTTTGTGAGCTCGTTGTGCAAGAGCGTGCCAGAACAACAAAATTTAACACGGCCTCCCATGGCCCTTGTTAGATTTTTTTTTACTTGAAGCTTGATGGAAGGACGGTTATGGAGCTTTCTTTTGTACTGGGGACCCCTTAGCGTGTTTTACGGACAATTGTGGGCAGGAAGTTAAGCAAGCGCTAAGCAAGCAACGCAGATGGTTCACACATGTTGTTTAAAACCTTCTCGCGAAACTCCGTATGGAGTTTATTCCAGAACAATACGTTTAGGACAAGCGAAAAGGTGCCCGTAAATCTTCCGGACACCGTCTTCCGGACACCGTCGTAAATCTTCCGGACACCACCAACAAAGAGGCGTTTCAAGGAGCCGCCTCTTAAGACGGCCCTCAACAGTTTTCGATTGTACTGACTGCAAGGAAGTGCTCTAGAGTCGATATCTGGTCTGCCAGTGCAACTGAACACTCTTCCTTCCAGCGACTGATACGAATACTGGGTCGCTAAACTCGTCAACAAAAATATTCTTTGTGTTATGACATAGTGGGGGGAGGAGCCGAAAGATTGCTGCGAAGTTTTCTTTTCTCACAAACCCGCAGATCCGTCTGTCTTCGTGACGTTTTTCGTTGAGGGGACGAAAAATCCCTACGCCTCCCTAGGCACCGAACAAGACCAGCACTAGAGAGCGCGCGGAGACGACCGTGGCTCATACGTGTGACGTCACAACAAAGATTATCAGCTGCGACCGTCATGTTTAATGGTCTCTAAAAATCACGATGGATGCTTGGGAATTGCATTTCAAAATCAACACCATCCAAGTTGATAGTCTGGTATCGTTCCTATTTCCGCCGATAAAGCAGAATTTACTAAAAAGCGTCCCTGCCGTTCTTTTGATTTATATCGGCCTTTCGAATCTGGCCAAAGTGTAGCCCGACGTGGCTAGGTCACAACCAGCCGACTACCGTTGTCCACTTTCGGGCGAATTTCGCCTCCGGGCAGTTGTCCCTTCATCGGCGGGATAAAATCAGACATTCGAAGATCAGTCAGTTTGGGATTAAGTATGTTTATAAACGGAAATAAGAAAATAAAAGTAATGTCAGGTTGTCAATATTGGCGGTGATGCTTCAAGAACGCAAGGACACTAAACTTGACGTCGTCGATTTGAACACGCACCATCAAATTTGTCGTTCACAACTGATAAACCTGACTTTATCGTCAAAGGTATCAGCTATAAAATGACGTCACTGAACGCGCCCGCACACTATATACGTGCCCTGGCACAAGTCTTTCGCTTGAAAGTCTGTCATGGCCACTCTTGAGTCTATGGAATGCGAGCCGTTTTAATTCCAGAATCTCTTGAACCGTTATTTCGAAAATTGCAGGCTGTGCTGTTCCTCGTCATTGCTCATTGGAACCCCTCTAAGCAGGGTCGTCGAAACAGGAGGATGGGGAGGAGGGGATTTAGCCCCCCCTCCCCCAGTTGCGTCGAAAGAGGGGGCAAGGGGCATAAGGGTGGAGGGGGGCGGGTATCGCTCCAGCCCCGAACCACCATAGCATTTTAGAGAGTTATAATAAAATATTAGGGGAAAGGAATATCCCTTCTTCACCACCATCACCTCCCTCTCTCTCTCTCCCGAACAATTTCTACGGCCCTTCTTGAGACTCCTGTTTGTTTGTGCGTGCGTGGGTGTGTGTGTGTTGGTCGTACCTTAATTCTTTCTTTAGAGCGCCGCTCTTCGGCGCCCGTATCCGGGTTTCGCGGCGTGGGCGTCGCCGTCGGCGTAACCAGCCCGCTGAATTTAGCGCGAAATTGACGTCACATGACCTCAACACCAATTCAATTCCCAGCTACGTGACTTCAACGCCAATGCACTTCTCCGCTAGATTGTCATGTGATGTCCTTTTCCCTGCTAAATTTAGCGGGGAAACCTGAATGGGAGGAGGAGGGGAGGAGAGGAAGAGGGGAGGAGGAGGAGGGGCATACCCTCCTCTCCGTACCCTCCCTTATTCCTCCTCAAGAGTTGAGCTCTAATTTCGCATTACAAAGATTTGTAAACGTCTTTAATTGTTTTTATTTCCCTTTCTTCGGCTTTTCTTTTTTTTTTTTTTTTTGTTATTCCCCGTTTCCTTTCATCTCTCAGACATTACCGACGTCTCTACACAAACCGCCTGTGGGTGACTCCGGTGGCATTGTTGACAGTGGCGGAAGATGAGCTCTATAAAGCCGCCCGCGTACACCGCGCACGGCTCCACAACATCACAAAGTTCAATCTTCGCCTCGATTCCGAAGCGAAGATTTTGGCCTCAAATAACTCCTTCCCAAAGTTGTGAAACGTCACTTTGTCGTCACCAATAACTTCCACAAACGACGATCTTGCGACAAGAAAGTTCAGAGTATTTACCAGCCGCCTAGGTACAATCTACGCATCATTGACTCTAACGCGGCGTAGGGATGTAGGGACACTCGGGCGAGACGTCATCAGTGCAGCCGTTCAATCGGCTGGCACCACGGTGTTGCTCGCACGCGCTTCGATGGAGCTCGCTACGACTTTGTGTTTTACATTCTCGCTGGAATTTGAGCACCTAGAGAGCTTGGATGATTGATACCTCGCTCGGCTTGACGTCAGCGTTGCGAGAGTTCAATTAGTGCGTTCCGCAACTTTCGGACACAAAGTTGTACTCGACGAGTTTAGCTACCCTGCAATGGTTTCACCAACCTCTGAGGTATAACCTCTTATTTTTTTAACGTTGAGTTACAGAACAAAATGGCCGCCGAGGTCTAAATTACTGCATTTAAAAATAACAAGATTAGTACTAAATCTGATGCGAAACATTTTCCCTATTCAAATAGACAGCGTGTAGATACAAAAAGAAAACATCTCGATTCTTATGATAAATTCTTTAAATGCAAATGCGCCCGAAAGACAGCGATCGATGTCTTAGAAACGCACGCAGTTTCTCCTATGCTTTTAATGTGGAAGTCTGCGTTTGTTTGCAAAACGAGGGTTCAGTTATTAAAGGAGCGTTTACGAAGTAGTTTGATCTCGATAAAGACTGCTTCAACCAACAAAATTTCTTTCTTGCCTATGTCACTTCCTTCACTGTTCACACCAGTAATTAATCAATAATTTGGAACAATTACAAGAATATGGGCTCTACATTTTCGTGGCAGTTGTCGATTTGCGAGGCATGCCATTTAGGGGAATCGAAATTAGAATGGGAATTTTGCAGGTACCTTTTCGGTTGCTGCATAACTCAATTCATGTGTGATTAATGATGTCACTCGACATGTTAGTAAGGGGGTCACCTGTGCTACAAGCCGACATCGTGACCAATTTGTATAAACTGGCCCATGCATGTACTCCATGAATCTAGCTGTAATTCTAGTCATGTGAACGACAAATCCTAATATTTTCCGCAATGTCCATTTGATTTCATTTTTGTACCTCAAAATTACAATATTGTAAATTGATAGAGCGGTTGATTATTTGCGAAGTAGCTTCTAAACAATCGCATCCGCCTTGATGCCAGCAAGAAAAACTTGAATTCCATTGAATCTACAGATCTAAACAAGGCTCGACAATAATCATACGATGAAATATATCTGGATTTAGCAAGTTCAAAAATATACATATTTCCATCGTCATCGTTACCTCCACCACCACCATCATCACCACCACCATTATCATAGGTAGAGGCCTCATAACAGCCTCAGCCCAGGGTCCCCAAATGCCTTAATCTAGCACTGCTCTCGTGTATGATATATAAGCAGTGTGGCCTAAGCTTTACTCTCCCAAACGCAGATCGAACTCCACCCGGATTGGAACCCGAAGACCATTAACTACGACTATGCGCTCGTGAAGTTGGAGACTCCACTGGACTTCGGCGGTGCCGACAGCGACGTGATGCCCATCTGTCTTCCCACGAAGGACCAGCAGTTTCCCAACCTCACATGCGTCGGAAGCGGATGGGGATCGCTGGGTCAGTCTGGTCTTTCGTTGTTTTGCAGCGAAGCTGTATAGTCGTTTTCTGTTTCCTGTCGTTCTCAGTCAAGTGTGTTCTGTATTTGGTACGCGGGACGAAAAATATAATAAAATATTTCAACCTGAAATATGCGAGAAAAAATAGGTGAGGCAAAACTAGAAAGTTTGACAATCACGCATTTCTCGTAAACACCTTCCAGCGCCGTAGAAAGATAAAAACGATGTTTTACCACATATCGGAAGTGACGACGTTCAAGATGGCTGCGTCCTTTCGGAAAAGGAGTATATGACTCATTGGTCGGGTTTTTACGTCTTCGTCGACAGAACAGTATTCGACAGAAAAATTCACGCGCGCCTTATCACCGTTCGCGCGCGCCTTATCTCTGATCAAATCGTTTTGACACGTATTTCAATAAGAAAACAACGAAAAAAGTGTCGAAACCATGTCATAAGCCGTCTCGGGCGCTCCGAGCCAAAGCACCGGCCTACAGACCCGCAGGTCGCGGGTTAGAGTCCTGGCCAAGGTGCCAACAATCTGACAGAGGCTTAATGCAGAGAAGGCGCCGTGCAACGGAGCTTTCGGTTCCGCGTCAAAAGATCCCCTGGTAGTCAAAATTAATCCTCAGTCCTCTGCTGGGTTGTGCGAGATGCCGGTCGTTGGGTTGGTCCGTAAAATCTCCCAAATTTGGCTTAAAACCACGTGATAAATGATAAGCACGTAGCGCTCCCCGCATGCGTTTCTCGGTAAATATTGCGGTTGCATAAGCTGCGGCGGTAACGGCAGCCGTACGAAGTATTTCATATATAAAAAAGTTTGACTACAGTGCATTTACTTTTCTTTCGTCAATCATTTGGTATAGATCGTTTTGATGTTTACGAACATGAAGTGCCGCTCGCGTCCCAATCGAATTCCGTTCGCACCCTCATTGCAAGCCTGTTGAGCTTGCTTATGTCACCAGTGCTAGAAAACGTGAGTTCCACACGGACAACAAAGTTGGAGATTTAACGAGGGCCTTCGGCTGCACAATAGTACATTTTGAAGGAGTCAAGTTGTTTTTCAAAAATACCCTAAGCATTTTAACAGATCTCGCACGCCTTCGTTCTTGTGGCGTTAACCTGGAGAATTGGTGGTTAAGCGTTTCATCAACATTTCAAGCAGCGGTGTTAGGGTGATCTTTGTTCGTTATTTTTTATGAATCGGAAGTCCTCTAGGACGTCAAAAACTGGGGCTCCACCTGGCGGTGTTTGCCAAAAATATGGTCTATAGTGCAGTGGGCAATCAATTGTTGCACGTGATACCATACGTTCGCTGTCCAATCACATTCACGGCCAGTTTAACTACACCACTGCTGCCGCAATGCATCGAGGGAACTTTAGTCTTTCTGCACGTGCGACAACCGTGCTGGAGTACTGTGCGAGTGGAGCACGAGACGGCACGAGCCGTCTCGTGCACTGCCGTTTGCCTCCTGTGAACTAAAGTTATGGCGGCGTCACCCATGCGCGGAACGCTTGGTGAGATGCGCCTATTGTGTTTATGCGTTTGCGTTAAGGCCGGTTCTCATGTCCAGCGAAGCGCTGATGTACCGCTGCTCACGTGTCGTCGGCTACTTATCGTCTGCCATGAGCTACAGTTTTGACGGTGCGATACGAAGCTGGTGAGCGCTCCCGTCAGCACGCGCTTAACTCGAGGTCAGTCATATGCTTGTAGCGCTCCGCCGCATATGTGAACAGGCCATTAGCATTAATAACCTAGGACATGCGCAGAACTTAGTCTGGTTCGGACCAACCAAAGTTTGCAACGTCGTCACGGGATGGCGCCACAGCCTTACTGGCTGTGATAACTGGGTAGGAAACACATTCCGCAAGCGCCGACAGATGGCGGGCGCTCTGCGGGTGCGCGCTTTGTACGCCCTCGGAGGCCCCTGTCGCCGGCTTTGGAGACCTGTGGACGCACATGGGCTGCGGTTCCGTTCTCCGACCTGCCGCGCCTGCCACGCCGTTCTTGACGCGCAGTCCTCTTACCACGTCGGCACATGTGGCGTACTTCACGTTGCAAAGGCCGCTCATGTGCATGATCTATCCGCCGAAGGATTGAACGCACGTTTGATGTGGATGAAAACGGCCAACGAAATGCATCTGTCGTTTCAGGCGCATCGCGCGTATACGTCCTTCACTCACACGTTAAAGGGAAGCTGAAGAAGTTCATGAAAAAAAAAACGAGTTATAGGTGAACTTTACAGTATTTCTATCCCGTGAATCTAAGTGTTAGGCTCGTTTTTCCTGAAGATGTAACTAATTGCGATAAAATACGATAAACCTCTGACCAGTCACTACGTCATAAAAGGATATTTTGGTCGCCAAGCGCGTGTCGCTTGTGTGCAAGCGACGCGCCAAGCGCGTGCAAATGCAAACTTGTCCGGTATTATAGAGAGTATTCACTGGCGGCCATATCCGTGTGCGCTGCTGCAGAGCGCGTGCTGACGGCAAGCTTCCGCAGTCCTTTTGGAACGTGCATTTAGCACCATCAAGGTTGCCGGTTTCGCAGGCTATTAATGTGAGCTCGTTCTGAGCATGCGCTCTAAACAGCACCCACAAATATGGCGTCCAGTGAATACTTCCTATACATTGTTTACCTCAAGAACAGCTACAATTGCGAGCTCCTTGCTCTAGGGCCCATCTCGGCAGCACAAGCTCTCGTGCACCAAGGGCAGCCGCCAACTAGTGCCACTAAATAAGCTACGCTTCAGAGTAACGACACTTGGCCATATTGTGTCTTAAAAGCATGGTTGCCAGTTATCTGAAGCTTTATCTGAAACCACAGGAAACGCCTTTCCGCCCTCCACAAATGTTTAAACAATTCGTAACAGAGCAAAGCAATATTGCGTGACCTTCTTAACAACGAATCTAAATCTGAGGAAGTCGCACTTTTGAATCATGACGATCAGCAGTTGCGTCTGCTCTGCATACGAGCCAAAATGGCGGCGCCCACAACAATGCCGGGGAACGGATTGCCGATACTCTAAGCGCAGCTCATTTAGTGACTCTACCGCCAACGATATGGGCTCGTGCTTCTAGTCTTCTTTGCGGTACAACATAAAGTGAAACGAAGTATAGCGGCGAGATGTTTTGGTGGCGCCCTCCTATGGTTTCCTCTCGTGACGTCATTACCTCGCGAACAAGAAGTTCGATGGTGGTTGTAATGAGCATGGTGGAAGCTTGTATTCATGGCGCTCTGAAACCAAAGTTGCCCACACCGCCAACATTGAAGTTCTTACATTCCTCTTATTTTCGTCGAGAGAAATCCTTTGCTGACGTCATAGTCAGCACTGGGCCCATCGCGGAGGGCCGACCACAGCGACGCTTTCGAACGCGCAAGCCGCAAATACCACTCGTGACGTCTTTTTCCGACCTTTATGAAAATAGCAAAAGTGCGCGTGCACGGCCTTGATAGGCACTGAGGATGCGCGAGAGCGGAGCTCCCGAAAACTCTTTTCATGACGTAACGCTCCGGGAAGAAAGGGCTTGAGTTGCACTTTGAAAATGATTTTCTGCTGCCTAAAGGCACCAAATTAAAAAAAAAAAACCTCGATATTCGTGATTCTGGAGGCCAATGAATATTATTTAAGTGTTTTTGCTCAAATACAGAACCGCCTCAGCTTCTTTTTAAATGAACTGATCTGCTTGCACCACGGAAAATAGGGGTTTCGGGAATGTTCACTCCCCGGAAAAGTGCAAAGAGGCTGTATATTCACGAAGCTTTGTTAGATATAACCGCTGCGAAAAACACTAAACCCTTTATTCGAGAATCAGGGTTGCGGCAGTGGAGATTTCAGGCCATCATTTTTATTTTATTTGGCGAGGTTTTTTTTAGAGAACTTAAGGGGCGTGTGCATGTGTGTAGGTCGTTCAGCAGGAAGATTTCTCCGTGAAATATACATCACGTCACCCATGTGACACTGTGATTCCCTGCGGCCTTTAGCGAGAAATTGCGGCTCACACGACATAACGCCATAGTGTCACCTGATGTCACGTCACATTGCAATTATCCCGCTAAATTCAGTGGCAAACATTTGCCGCTAAATTTAGCAAAAAAAACTTTTCCCGCAAAATATACGTCACGTGGCACGACTTCACAACAAACTGTGACGTCATATCATGTGCCACTCGGATACCCCCAAAGTTTGGCGGGGAAGTCACGGTGTCAAGCGACATGAAGTGTTACGTGATATTACGTCGCAAAAAACGGCGCGGTCCCCGCTAAATTCAGCGGAACACTTTTCTGGCTAAATATAGCGGGAACATAACTACGGTAAATTTAGAGAAAAATTGATTTGCCAAATCTAGCGGGAGTTTAGTGTCACGTGACGTCATGACGCCTTGTGACGCCGTAGTGCCCCATGAGCACCTTCTCTTAAATTCAGCTTAAAGTATGTTTAATTTAAACACGGCAGTGTAGCTGTGTGCAGTAATGTCCAGCGTCTCGGTGGTCACCGCAGTTACATGACAAAGGGCCGTTTTTCTTCCTTTTTTTTACAGCGAAGCTGTTTATGGCTAGGGTTTCATGAACTTTTCGTGTGCGTCAACAAAAACTCAGAGAGGGCTCGCACCGCCCTCTCTTTGTTGTCGTTCAAAGCGGTTATGTGCCTAGTTTCCTTTTCTTCCTCGAGGCGGCGGTCCTGACGCGCATGTCTAGTTCCCTCCGGCTACTCGGGGCGACGACGATAGCCCTCGGCATGTGTGTGCTTACCTTTCGTCAAGATGACCACCGATCAAGACGATAAACGTGTTCCTGCCTTTGTTTAAACAATTTTTTTTCTTTCTCTCTCTCTCCCTACGCAGTTCAAAACGGTCCTGATTCTACGATTCTTCAGAAGGTAGACTTGCCTACTGTGCCTCACGACATCTGCAAGCAGAACTACGCCAACTCCAATCCGGTGATCGAGGAAACCATGATCTGTGCCGGTTACGAGGAAGGAGGAAAATCCATGTGCAATGCAAGTATTTTTGTATTTTTGTGTTTAGGAACAAATAATGAAATGGTGACGGAACGCCACCGAAACGGTTACGAAATGTGTAACGCGTATACTTTAGAGGACTAGTCTCTACGAAAGGGTGGGGAATCTACAATAACAGACGAAATTTCAAATGTGCTCCTAACTGGGAATCGAATTAACGACCGTGTGATTCTTAGTTCGACGTTCTACCACTGCGCTAATTAGTTTTCGACCTTTATTGCACTGCGCCAACGGACCCATCTCACCAGTCAGTTTCCTCCCACCGCCGCTGCCGGTATCAATCGTGGAAGCCGCAATCTTTCTGCGCGCACCACTACGACCTGCTGCAACCCTGACCTGCCCACAGAAGAGTGTGTCAGCGCGGACTTTGTAGTACAGGTCGCGGCCGCAGCGTTTCGTCACGCTATGACTTCGCGGCGCTGCACCAAGGTATTTTTGTTTCCCAGGGTATCCGCACATCAATCGAAGGCACGCAAGGCCAACACCTCCTAGACAGCTTTAAAGCGCGCGCGTTACGTCACATGACGTCACGTTTGGGGGTCCCGCACGGGCACGAATTGTATGCGAGTGCCGTGTCAGCGTTCGCGTGTGACAGGAAACGAGCCCCACGCGCGAACACTGACACGGCACTCGCATCCATTCAGCACTCCTGCGGCCTGCCGGACCCCCCGGACGTGGTCGACACAACCAGTGTTGTGTCGACCACGGGTGCCGACATTTGTTTGGTACCGGACACGATCCAGGGGAAACTAGCCCTTAACAACTCCGCTGTAAAGAAAAAACTGCACGATCACGATGCCTTCTTGGTGCGCCATTGGTTTAACGGGTGACAGAAACTCTCTTAGCGCCCACCTGGTCGGTTCTCTGACAGATAGTGGCGTTGTGCCGCGGTTCGGCCTTAATGTGAAACGTAGTATAAACGTGCGAATCTTGATTTTTTTTTCTTCCTAGGGCGATTCCGGAGGACCCTTGATGTGCCCGAGGGACGACGGCCTCTACGTGCTGGCCGGAACCGTCTCGTGGACCGTCGTATGCGCCGCTAAATATCAGCCGTCCGTCTTCGCCAGAACTTCGACGCAACTGGACTGGATCGAAAGCATCGCTGGAGAGACTCCATGAATGCGCGGATATGAGCTGCGCTCGCGCCCTTTTTCCTTCTCGTCAATAAAAACAGCAACTTGGAGGTCAAACCCGTGTACATATCGTTTTATTGTTATTTTTTATTTGTGTTTGCAGCACGGCATATACCGCGGATGGCAGTAGAGCCTAGAAGATATAAGATCCGCTGACGTCATTGTTCACGGGTCCCCGACACGCCGCGAAAAACTCTCTGGACTCTCGACGCGAGTTGCCGCCAAGCGGCAGGCGCTTCTGTCTCGGTGTCAGCGCGTGCGCTAGCGTCGCGCTCGCCGAGAGACGCTGCAAGGCGCGCTTTTGGTGATGCTACGCACACTAGATGGCGCTGCGTAAATCTACCGCAGTATCATCATCATCATCAGTGAAAACACTCAGACACACACTGGCTAGGTGTCGCAAGCCACCGCCCGATTCAAAGGGTTCAACCTCATCCATTCATCAATCAATCCTTCCAATAATGGCGGGACGTTTTGGGGGGGGGGGGGGGGGGGTAAACGTTTAGGTTCCGTCTTCTAAACCTACTTGAAAGCGCGAAAAAAAAACGACTCAATCGTACTTTTGACAAACTTTTTTTTACGGTTTATCAGTACATGTATTGAGTTTAGAGGTAGTAAATATCGCGCCTGGAAGAGTAAAACCTGGACATTTCGAAAATGTGTAAAGTTTAAATAACTGAAAAAAAAAAACGCCATGCCCTAATACTTTAATGTCTGCCTCACAGAGATCCTGAATAGCGAACTTTGGGGGGGGGGGGGGGGGGGGGGTCTGCTTTCCCTCCAGCAAACCCCTACGAATGTTTACTACCGCGAAAGCGACCCCGGACCCTCATCATCGAAGTCTCAACCGTGAATAGATAGTATGTAATTACCTTGACACTTTGCAATATCAAACGAACCGTGAAATGAATTTTAAACTGCGATAAATTATGAGGGGGCAGGGAGGGGGTTTAGTTTGCGAGCTATACATGTATATAAGTTTAAAGTTCGCGTGATGCGGAGTGCGAAACATACACTTTTTTTTCTGAATAGTTATTATCACGATACGTCTTAAAATGACAGAGAAAGTTAATGATGATTTATGCATTATAAAAGCTTCCTTGTGAGCCAATACGGCAGGCATCTGTCAAGGTGTACTTTGTATTAGAATTTTAAAGGTGACATGAAATACATTTTGCGATGGGATAGGTGATATCTAATTGGGGTTTTACTAATCGCATATTGTTTAGTTGGCCAAAACAGGGAGGTTACAAAGTCAAAAACCTGCTTTTCTGAACGAAGATTTTAAAATATAGCGGACTATTTCGTGCCTTGTTTCCTTCGAAGGCTCTCTGCCTTTTCACTGTAATATATCCGCGGTACCCAAAGCACATCAGACGACTACGGCTCACGCATTGGACACGAGCACCATCGCGTCACTCGGACGTATGCGCTCGTCAACAACCAATCCATGGACGAATATTTGGATTCGCGTTCGTGGGATCGTAAGTGCCGACAGGACACGTTTTGGAACTTACCATCGCTTGCGAATGACACGTTCCACGGCGGGCTTAAAGAGCACACCGGAAGCTAGGAGTCATCGCAAGGGTACCCAAGCACATCCTGACCACATGATTTCTCATTTCGCTTTTGAGTTGAGGAGGAAAAGCTAAGGAAGCACAAGTTGCAAAATACTTTCACGGCCCCTTTCAAACGATGTAGCTTTCTTAGGACCTTCAGGCCGCTTAGAGGTATGTTTCTGGCCGTTTATTTTTCCCGCTAAATTTAGCGGAGAAAACGATGCCGCTTCTTGATATCACGTGACCCCTACACAAATTCAGTTTCCCGCTAGATTTAGCGGGAAAAGTAAAGTCAGGTGACCTGAACACCAATTCAGTTGCACCACAAAATTTAGCGGGGGAAAATGACGTCACATGAATGCGATTCCTTGTGCACCGAAAACGCCCAAATCCGGTCCTGTTAGGGAGTTTTAGCGAGTCGTTTTTCAAGCACACGGTTCCGAAATCACGAACGGTACAGCTGGTCCGTTCCGTGAAACCGTACGTCAAATTTGACACACTTTAGCGAATCGTGAAAGTGGCGCGACCGTGCAAACGATGATGATGATCGTGCTTAATGGTGGCGCCATCTTCTAGTAAACATGTGAAACATTCTGCAACGTGTAAATCAGTGGCGACGGTGGCGGACACCGTGGTGGCGGTTCGTGTTTCTGGTGTACGACTGATGTAAACAAGACGGCCGACGCAACATTTGCAGGTCGGAATTTCAAGAACTGCGAAGCTAGATAGAGTAAAAAGTGTCCGAACAACCGTAAAGGTATGTGGTGTGTCTCCGTCATCTTCAACTTGAACGATCGTTCACGTTGTGTGCCGTCGAACCAAATAATTTCGTCTGCTCGCGGTCGCCACGGCAGCTAGTCTGCCCGCAGATCGCAAAAATTTACTAGCATGCGCAGTTTTCAGCATTCACGATCGCTTACCACTGTGAGCAGTCCTCGAAATGATTTGGTTCAACCTCTCAAATGAAGCAGACTTAAACAGGACGGCAAATCGCCTCCCGCTGTCCTAAGCCTAACGTTTGGCTGGGTCGGCGTAGGTGGTCGCCGAACCGACCGCCATCTCTTTTTTTAACCGAGTCGTGAACGGTGCTGGCTGCGTTGCGGTGACGACTGCAGCGGCCAGAATCGGAGAAACGAACGAGAAGAGCCTCCCGACTTCCCGAACGACTCGCGCGCGCATGCGCAGTGGCGTCGCGGATACGTTCGAAGGCGAACCGTTCGTGTGGAAACGACCTGCTAAAACTCCCATTGTCACGAATGAAGGTGACGAGGGGACGAACAGTGAACTCAAAATAAAAGTTTAATCGGCGAACTTGTGCTAAACAAAATAAAAGGCCAGCGTTGAAGCAGCAGAAACGCGCGAGGCGATTTGGCGGCGTAACAGCAAGCGAGAGCGAGACTGACTCGACAATGTCGCGGGCCGTTCCTTATCTGAAGTGTGTCGGCATCTGGAATGTTAGGAAAAGAAGCTTCGAGCGTCGCGGGCTCGGGGCGAGAATGAACATGCATTTTCGAGAGCAGGAAACAAGGACGAAATTATAAAAGTTACGCTTCAAGCAAGAACAAGCACGAATATTCTGAAAATGCGTGACCGAGCGTTGTTTGATCGCCTTTGCGGGCGGCAATATTTTGAGGAAGAATGTTGCCGACCTCAAGCCGCCAGTGTAGCCGCTCGCTCACAAGCTTCTGCGTCGCTTTTCCCATACATCTCATTAATACCTATTTTCCATGGACTTCCAATACCTATTTTACATGAAATTTCCAGGACTCTACAAACACGACTAAGCTCGTGGCTTAAGGATATGCTTGGGAGTACCATCCGCTTGTAAACTATCTAAGGGAAAGAACCGCTGCACGAATGCGTGCTACACATATGTCCAACCAAGACACCTGTACCCAATATTATTTTTGGAAGTACGATGATACTTGTGCACCCTGAACGATCACAAAACCCGAATCCAAACGAATATTCAAAACCCGAAGAAAAAATCAACTGTGCCACCTTTAGACGCAATGCAAATGACTCTGGGTCATCTAAAGAGGAAATGTAAAAAAATGGCACGTTTATGCGTACAGACGGATTCGTTACGGAAAAGGGTTGTGCGTTTGTCTTCTACATGCCTGACCTAAACGTACGCGAGTCATACCGCCTCTCTCACCAAACTTTGTCAACTACGTTAGGTATGCATGCATTCTTTCTGCTTTTTTTATTAGGCAAATGAATTGTGCTCAAGTATGTGTGGTCTGTACAGACTCCAAAGCTGCCCTTGTCTACTTACAAGTCGTGAACACACCTGGACAGAGGAGGGACACAACATCGTATGTCAATAGATTCCCGGGAACTGCTGCATTCACGGAAATGAAACAGCTGAAAAACTTGTTACGCTAGGACATAACAGCGTGGAGTTACAAGTGGTTTCAATTTCACGGTGTGATATGCGCTTTATAATCAAAGACCTACACGGGCGCTTATGCAATGTCGCCTGGCTCAACGAGCATGCCCAAATGTCTCTTTTTTACGCCATACGTCCTCATCGAACTTTCCAAGCGAAACAGACTTGCCAAGGAATAAGGGCCCATTAAATCACAGGCTCCGGCTGAATGTCGCATTTACGGAGAAAACATGATTGCGCTTTGAAGCACGCTCTGTGGTGTCTGTTCTTCCTATGTCCCTGTCTTCAAAGCGCAATCATGTTTTATAACGTACCCTACCAACTTGCCCAACAATCAGCACTTGTCAATCTAATTACGGAGGAGTTTCTTTTAAAGATACGTCGAGCACCATCATCAGGCTGCGCCTGCGGTCTCGCAGTCAAAGATGTCGAATATCTTACACTTGACTGTGGACGTTTATCAAGGAAGCGAGCGACTATACGCCTGCAGCAGCGGCTTCGAGTAACACAAAATCGACCGGTCACACTTTCAAAGGTGCTGGGACCATGGTCGTCTCCGGCAATACAGAAAAGCGGCTGCAGCGCATGCTGTTCGAGACTTTCTCACCAAAACTGACATCGCACAAAACTATTTTTAGGCGACAAGAACTGTTTAGATAATTGAAAAGGAGTACGTATATCCATGATTGTGTATCGGTTTGTCTAAGTGCCTTATCTGCGTGGCATATCCGTACATTATCATTCCATGCTCTACGCTAAAATTACATACATGTTTTTTTGTTTTTTTTTTTACAATCGGTACAGAGTAGACGGTACTGTGAAAACAGCGCTTCCTTGATAAACGTCCACAGTCAAGTGTAAGATATTCGACATCTTTGACTGCGAGACCGCAGGCGCAGTCTGATGATGGTGCTCGATGTATCTTCAAAAGAAACGTCTCCGTAATTATATTGAAAAGTGCTGATTGTTGGGCAAGTTGGTATGGTACGTTAGAAAACATGATTGCGCTTTGAAGACAGGGACATAAAAAGAACA